AGCTATTCTCGTGTTGCTTAAAAAACCTTTTAATTCGCCCCATGCTTTGTTGAGATTGCATGAACGACTCTATCTTCTGGAGCGTCCTGTATACCAAAAACATTCCAGATGAGAGGTTAAATCAGCTTGAATGCGCGGACGCACTGTGCAAATGTTCCGATGGTGGACAAGATCGTTGGTGGGAGATTCTGCGAATGCTGGGCGCATAGGTCGATGACGATACGAATAAGTTCTTCGATCTGCTCAATCAGGACGAGGCATTCCTCTTTATTCTTCTGGACAGTCTGTAGGGAATGAGACGATTCATCGACATTGACGGTGTACCTATGCGACCGACCTGGACCGTTTCAAGGATCAAGGTACTCAAACCCGCCACCACTTTAATGAATGGGACGTTTGTCGCCTGGCTGACGTCCCGCAACGTGGCCACAGTTGTTCCTGCTCTGCGAATGCGAATGTGCGAGCTTTCCGGTCCTTTTGAGTCTGGCATGATTTCGGGGAGGAGAAGGGTGAAGGCAAGCAGTCAGCGCCCATTCGGGAACAAAAGGGTTAGAAGAAGTCGGAAGACAGTTGAATAGCCGAAGCATCAGATCAACAACAGCCTGGTGATGGTTGTTCTGTTTCGTTTGCACGGCGCACCCGTGCGGATTGCCGGTGACTGCCGGTGACTGGAAGGTGTTCGACATATAGTAGGCTCCAAAAGTTTGAGGATACGATAAGGGGGATTTCAGGCCATGGACTGCATATGTCCTACGCGCCAGAACAGCTTGATGTGCCACCCGATCAAATCCCCGAGCCGCCCGAAACCGCCCGCGTTGCAGGTGGATACACTATCGCATTAATGACTTGGGCGGGCGCAGGGGTCCAATTCCGGAATCCGTCATTTGCTATTGTCTACGAAGCACCTGTTCTATTCCGATGCAGTTCGCTCGTTTTTGGCCAATTTTTGGCTCGTTTAACCCCAACTCTATTTTCCGCGTGGAGCTATCAAATAGCGCCCTTAAAGCGATGTCCGAAACACCGGTAAGAATCTAAGATCGCCAAAAGAAAAGGGGAAAAGAAAGCCGAGCTCCATTGAGATGCTTTTTTTTTGGCCCGAATATGAGCACAGTACGAGGAGAAGATCTTGTCCAGGAACGATGCAACTGCAACTGAAAAGTCTTTGTTGCCCACTGTTTGGGCCTCACATCAAACGCGTTGACATCACGTGCAGCAACGCCACTTGTATTTGCGGTGCCGGTCAGTATTGACTTTTGAGCCCGGTCATTGATACTGTGGAACTCAAACCCAGTGAATTTCACAGACACTTTTCACGTCTCTAATGCCGGTAAAATACGGTGAATATCACTAGAACACGGTGAAAATTTTCACATCCAAAACGTACACTTTCACCGTCATGAAAATCACCCACTGTGAGGGTGAAACTGGACGTACTTCTGATGCAAAAAAAGGTGGAGGCCCTTAGCGGCCACCGGACAGGATCAACCTGCATTTACTCAGTAAACTTACATGGGTACAATGCAATCCAAAGCACATACAGTCTAAGGCTCCAACCATTTAGTTTTCGTTTGAAGATCTGGGCAAATCAAACGAAAACGGTATTTAAACTGTTTAAAACCGTTTAAAACCGTTTTAAATGGTATTTTTTGCAGGCCATCGAAACACGAATGAAGTAATTAATTAGTGGCCGCTGCCGCACTCCAGGGATGCACACTTGAAGAACCCGTTCGTTATCTACACCTTGGTAAGCATCGCCTCCATTATAATCTCCGCTTTCAATGATCGTCGCGCTTCATGGCAAATATGATGTAATTCTAAAAATAGATCCTCGACAGAGACCCTGCTCCCAGAAATGGCCAGGACGAGCCGAGCCATCGTTGAGACGATCGGGAAGCCATGTTGGTGTTCAAATTCCTATGAGGGAAAGAGTTGACCCGAGTCTCCACACCATCTCTCTGGTACTGACCAGCGACTTCCACCATGTCAACAGGCTCCACCAAGGCCCAACACCCATATGTGTTCATCTAAAAATTGTTCCAGCTCCCCCGGTACAGTTTCAAGTTCCACATTGGCAACATCATCCATACATACATTGTCTAGCAAGGACTTTAATGTGCCATTCCTGAAGCACAACATGTAACCCTTTAAATCGTTTTCAAACGGTTTATAAACCGTTTGGACCGGTCTTCAAACAAAACGAAAATAAAAACGGTTTAAACCGTTTGAAACCGTTTTAAAACGGAAACGGTTGGAGCCTTAATACAGTCTGTAAGGCTGTCTACGCTATGAAGTGCCCAAATCTTCGGGCAGATATGTTAATACACAGGATATAAATGTCACGTAGTGACCAACAGAGTTATGTACCTTGCTCCAACCACATGGTAGATGGGGTGAAAATCGAATTCACTGACTTTCTAGGTGAAATCCATTTTCACCTCCTAGTTCTTTTGAGGGACCCGATTTCACTGCATTTTTTGTGGTCCTGGTGAAAATTACTTTCACTGCACTGCAGGAATCGACCACAAGATATCGCGACTTCGGCGTTTCCACGTGATCGCGATGTTCGGGCAGGCCCGAGGTGCAGGGTCAAGATCACGCGTGTGTAATGAGGGGTTTTGGTGGTGCGGGCGGGCACGGGCAGGCGGGGTGGAAAGGACGGCTTGACGCACACCGTGAAAAACCTTCTCATCACGCCCACTCATCAGAAGTCTCCGACCCAAGGCACACACATTTTCCCTCCACTGTGTATTCTCCAAGTCTAATTTTGCCCCTGCCTTTAGGTGCCCAATCGTATCACACTCGAACATAGCCAACACCTTGCTGTGAAAATCATGAGATCGTCCAAGCACTGAAGTCTGGTTTCTGCTAGTTTTCACCCGGATTAGGGCGGTCGCATCAATGGGGAGTGTTTGTATTGCCTCTTGACTCGCGTGTTCCCCTCTCACTGTTGGTGGAATGGCTATAAGGGGCAATCTGCCTGATCCCCAGGCTGCATCAGTCAGTGGATCACTAATGTAGAACAACTCCGACTTTTGTAGCATATTCTAGTGTACTTACCTCTGTAGTATATAAGCTGGGGGTAGCTGGTCAATCTCTTCAGGAGATTGCAACCTACAGCCTGACAGCTCAAGTGCAACCTACTCACTTTCCTATCATTTTCACAACACTCACATATTTTCTTGGTTCTCTCATTGAATTTCCTTATATGTGTATTTCCTAGGTGGCATCTTATTCGTTAGTACCAGTAGGGCGATTGGCATATTTTGCAGCTAATCAAATACATAGGATTCGCTCCGAGGGCTTTTGAACCAGTACTGTCCTATATGGATACTATATCAGCTGCGTATGCCCCAATCTCAATTCTCGATCCCAACCTCAACGTCAATGTCACGTCCGATACTCTGCCCGATATCTGAATCGGGGTAATGAATTCGGTGATGTGTAATCAATTCCATGGTTTTCCATTGTGTGTTGGCATCGACTTGAAGACCGAAGCACACTCCGCGGCACCAGGTCTGTCTCCGTTCCGCCATGACACGGGGTTAGACTCCCTGCCGGGCATAGATGAGCAATCATTCACCGGCTTTTTTCCCCAAGTCTGTCTCATGTATTCCCCAAGACGCGCACACAGCCAGATACCACCTTCACATACTCGTGCCGGCGGTGTACGCTACACGCATCGTGTCGTATACATAAAGCGGCAGTTCTCGTTCAGTGACGAGCGGGGATTCGACTCCGCGTCGGTGCATATGCTGTTCCAAGGTCATTTTTACTAAATCGTAGCGCACGTAACGAGCAACTGAATATAGGTAGAGCGCACTAACGGTGCATGGCACACACGCCCTCGCTGGGGGGTTCAGAAGTTCATGTATTTCATCGGCGAGACGGGGTTCGATTCTCTGCTGGTGCATGCTCTGGTTTTTCCGCAGCTTTTGTTTTTAGTGAATCCAGGAAGTCCCCGGAATATAAGAGGGAGAAAGTAGGAGAGAGGACCAGTGGTGTATGGTACACACGCCGACCGCAATGGGTATGAGGAGTTCATTGGCAAGACGGGCTTCGATTCCCTACTGGTGCATGAGCAGTGTCTAATGCTCCTTTTTTTGTTTCTCGTCAAATGTAGTGTATATACGAGGTTGAAAATAGAGGGAGAGCGCACCGGTGGTGTATGGTACGGGAGTGCGTTTGGGAGTTGGAAAATACCGGGGATTTGGGAGGCCGGCGGTGTGATCGGCGGTATGATTGGTAAGCGGCCGGTACAATGGCAGTCCATAGTTCACTGATATAAACAAGGATCAATATCCTCCTAAACCATTCGAAGGTGGGTTTAGTCCGCCTCGCTGCCCGTCAGTGTATACAGATGTTGATTATAGTACATAGAATACATTTACTATGTTCAATAATATTTTTAACTCATACACAGAGGGAGAACAAATATGTGGACTGCAGGACTGCATATTTCAAAGTGTCGTGCTTCGTCGTAGGACCCGATGGAGTCTGAGTTAACCATTTTGGTTGCGAGCTAATCTCTGTGACATCTCTGACCAAGAAAGAACCTTTATAGCCATCTGCAAGTTTGAACATAAAAGTGCGGCCCATTGTTAATCAAATTGATCTCTGTGGCTGGCCCAGAAAAATGCTCCTATAGCAATGAGGTGAAGAATTAGCCGATATCTTCTTATATTAGGGAAATTCACGAGTGAACGACCAGCGAGCGAGCACGGATGGGTGGAAGATATTTCAATCTCCGACGATATGTGCCGGCAGTGCCGCCGGAATTGATGGCGGTGTGTTCGCCGGCAATTTCCAACTCCCAAACTTCCTGTGGTACGGTACATACGCTGACCCGATAATTTTGAAATGAGATTTCGAAGGCAAGAACGGGTTCGATTCCCACCGGTGCATCGTCTTGAACTTTTCATCTTCTTTTTCGTATCATTGAACCGTCTTATATAATCTGCCCAAATTTATCGCAGCAACGAGGTTGGAAATAGAGGGAGGAAGCGCCAATGGTGTATGGTACACACGCCGAACTCTTACTTTCTATCTAGTCAATTGATCGGTGGTGTGGGGTTCGATTCCCCACTGGTGCATGTTCGCTGCAGCCCCAGATCTTTCCATCATCCATGAGTTATTTGAAAAATGCGCACCTACGAAGGTTGAAAATAGAGGTAAAGAGCACCGGTGGTGTATGGTACACCCCCCTATTTTCTGAAAGCAAAGAAGTTATTCAATGATGAGACGCGGTTCGATTCCCGACTGGTGCATTCTCCTGACACTGAGCTTTTTCTCCCGCTCTAGCAGCGAACTGGTGGTTCTTTCATCTTAGTTTTGGTCGCGCGAGGGGCATCAACCTCTTGCGATGGACCGGTATGTTCGTGCCGTGAGGGATCCTTGCAACCTATAATCCAATATATACACAGTCAGACAGGCCCGAAGTTTCGTAGGAGTACGGTACGGTTGTAATCACCGGTGTAGGTTCATTTTTCTCCCCCAAGATTCACCCGCATTCTTTCCACAAGCCCATACCCCCATGCCTCACTCCTCTTAAATAAATACCCGCGTCGGAGGTACATACACGCGTCGTCTCCACGACTACTGTATTCCTAGTCGACATAGCTGATACCCCTATCCGTGTTCCAACACTAAAACCAAGCAGGAAAAACACGCAAATCTCGTTCTTATATGTACAGTACACCGTCGTTATCATCACATCACATCGCATAGTTGTCGAAACACGCCCGGCATCGACACCGCGGCGTTATTACCCCTTAACAAGCGTAATAACATCTGTTAGTTCATCCACCCCCCACTCAACCCCCTATCCAAGGCACTTCTCTATCCTCTCTCCTTCCTCAAAGCCCTACTTACTCACGACCTGCACACGCGTGCTCATGCGCTTCTCGGAGCTCCGCGAAGGAGCGGCCTTGGGGCTGCGTGGATGAGGGTGGTTTAACAGGTGTGTGTGACGGGGGGAGGGAGGAAGAAAGGAAAAACGGGAAGGAAAAGAGACAAGTAGACGCACGAAGCATGGTGCTTGGTGCTTATGCAGACGTGCCTGTGCAATCAACGCCTGACACATCCTGCAAACACGCCGGAGACGAAGCGGGCCCACCCCAGCAAAAAACTACACAAACAAAGCTCACCTCTTGTGATTTCCAATCCAGCTCGGGCTCGGGCCGAGATGCCGCTGATTTGGTTGAATTCCTTTTTTATGGGAACATAATTGACCGGGATGCGTGTGTGGATGAAAGAACTAAACCATTACACTGTTCTTACGCCACCCACCCCGCTGTTGCATTGCATCAAAACATCATTTGTCCCTGCACGCGCTGCCAAGCGCCGCCCACGGCGGATAAACTGCTTCTGAGGACATTCCGAAAACGCCGTGAAATGTATTTATGCCCCGGATCCTGCAGCCACTACGTATATTGTGTAACTTACTACCAAAGCTCGATCGTCTGTTGAACTTTCCGTACCCTGGGATGGTTTGAGTTTAAACCATATCGTCTCCAACGATAACGTTCGGTTTAAACCGGTTTAAACCAGGCCTTTGTACCCTATAGGCTACCTGTTATTCTGTAGTGGAACCAAGGTCAGTTCAAACCGTTTTCTGGACTGTCTGTTGTTCTGTAGTGAAACCAAGGTTGGTTTGAACCATGTTGGTTTAAACCAGTTTAAACCATTTTTTATGCTGTCTGTTGTTCTGTAGTGAAACCAAGGTCGGTTTGAACCATGTTGGTTTAAACCAGTTTAAACCATTTTTAGGCTGACAGTGGTTCTGTGGTGAAACTGAAGTAGGTTCAAACCATGTTGGTTTAAACCGGTTTAAACCAAGGGTGGTTTGAACCGGTTTTAAACCGTTTTTGGGGCTGTCTGTTGTTCTGTAGTGAAACCAAGGTCGGTTCAAACCTTGTTGGTTTCACTACAGAGCCACTGTCAACCTAAAAAATGGTTTAAACTGGTTTAAACCGGTTTAAACCAACATGGTTCAAACCGACCTTGGTTTCACTACAGAACAACAGACAGCATAAAAAATGGTTTAAACCAACATGGTTCAAACCAACCTTGGTTTCACTACAGAACAACAGACAGCCCAGAAAACGGTTTAAACCGGTTCAAACCACCCTTGGTTTAAACCGGTTTAAACCAACATGGTTTGAACTGACCTTGGTTCCACTACAGAATAACAGGTAGCCTATAGGGCACAAAGGCCTGGTTTAAACCGGTTTAAACCGAACGTTATCGTTGGAGACAATATGGTTTAAACTTAAACCATGCTGTTGCTGACTTTCCTCGGGCTTCTCGGCGATCTTACTAAAAATACATGGGCCGGATAATTCCCCGCCAAGTGCAGGTCGTCCCCCTTTTCAATGAACCTGATGGTAAAGCATTGTTCAAGGTACGATTAGGCACTCTATGGGCGCACGAAAAAAGGCTCCTAGACACACACTGTGGCCAACAATGTGCGTGACGACCCTAAACAAATAGTGTGGCCACAAGGCTGCCTGAACAACAAAGCGGTGCTTCTCACTTGGAGGTCTTGTTATTCCCAAGGGCGACGTATGCTCAGAGCTTGGGTATAAAGAGAGGGTGGAGAATCAGTTTGCTTCCGCACACTACCCGCAACTCAGATGCCAGCCGAACGAAAATCTCGTCGAGTGCCTACAGAACGGATTCCAGCGCCCTGGGGCACGTTCAAAGTCGTTCGCAATCCGATCAAGGACGGATGCCAGCTTGAGTGGACCACTTCCACTCGTACTAGTGTCATAGCCGACCTTTCGAAAATCGTCCCATCCGAAGTCTTGCTTGCAACGTGGTGCATTTATTCTTCTTCCAAACTGGGACCCGCTTCAGTATGTTGGCGTTTTCCGAACCATTGCAGCTACTGACCTGGGACCAGCATAGTCGTCGACCCCACAATCACTACGGAGAGTAGCGAGATGAGATGCAGAAGGAACAAGAACAACGAATGGGAGGCATCGCCGGCTTCATTCCCCACGTCTTCCGCGCTTGTTCTGAAGCACATGTTCGTAGTTAACAGAGGAGAAGAAGACCGAGCTTTCCCTCTCCCGGGGCCCAGAGAAGGAAGACGACCTGACAACAGCCGAGAAAATGTCGATCACAATCGTCATCGTAGATTCACTTGGAATCAGTGACCACTCGAAATGGCCCCATTTGTAATGATTCAGTTCATCGAGATGGTGGTTGAGAATTGCGCAGGAGCATTCGGTCGGTATAGGAACGCTAGAAGGACGTGTACTTGCATCTGTGGAGCGATTCGTCCAATATTAATGGAGTATCAGAGTCTTTTGACAGTAAATTCAGTGAGCGAAGTATCTTCACAGGCGAGCTTAAACCTGAAAGCCACCACCCATGGGTGCGCGATCAAAAGGCTATCCGTAGCGGTGTATGTATACACGCGTGCGGCCGTATCGGAAATCCCGGCATGAACAGCCCGGGGATCAACAATTTTCGTATCGCCCGGTTATAGCCGCCTCGATCCAGGCGAAGGTTGCGTACTATCCGCGCGTTGTACCGGCCATGGGATGGGGTGTTCAGGAGCGACGCCACGGGGGGAGATGAGTTGCACGTTTACAATATATTTGGTCTCCGATTCAAAATCAGTTTGTAAAAGATATTTGTACCATGGGCAAAGGGTGATCCGATCAGTGCATCCTTCCATTCGATGAGTGAATGCAGAAAATGGGGTGCACCTACCGAGGTTGAAATTAGAGTGAAGAAGCACCAGTGGTGTATGGTACACACGCCGACCTGGAGATAACACATCTTCATCGGTGAGACGGTCGGGGTTTGATTCCCTGCTGGCGTATGGATGGTGCTTCGTAAAAACCTTTTTTTTCACTTCTTTTCATTGGTTTCAATCCAGAAAATATTGTATAATGCATATGAGAGGGCTAAAATAGAGGTAGAGCGCACGAGTGCTGTATGGTACGGTACACACGCCGACTCGATAATTTGGAAATGAGATTTCGAAGGCGGGAACGGGTTCGATTCCCGCCGGTGCATCGTCTTGGACTTTTCATCTTCTTTTTTATTATTGAACCGTCTTATAATCTGCCCAAACTCCAGTCAACGAGGTTAGAAATAGAGGGAGGTTTATAGTACACACGCCGAACTCTTACTTTCTATCCAGTCGTCGATTGATCGGTGGTTCGGGGTTCTCTTTTTATTCATTCCTTTGTATACATGACACAGAGAAAACAGATCCCACCGCAGAAGACGCCCGTGAAGTTACCCCGTGACCACGCCCCGAGGTTGAGCATGTATGGCGTGATTAGCGTGCGTAGAGGGAGGCGGGACAACAAAAAAGTTATTGAAATTGGTACGGCGTGTCCGAGGAAGGAAGGAAGCGGGGGATCGAGGAAGGCGGCGGCGATGAAAGGTCAAGCGGGCGGGAAAATCGTCGACGCACTGAAAGAAAGGGATAGAAGGCGACAAAATGGGAGAAGAAAAAGAACAGGAAAAGACCACATACTACAAATTCCGCCCCAACACCACACTCGTAATTAACAGCCGCCTTGGGCTAAGCTCTCCCACGAGCGAGTACGCGACCGTGCCATGTACTAGTAAATACCTGCACAACTGCTGCGAGGGCGGGCAGGCCGCCCTGGGCATACTACGGAGGAGAAGTGAGCCAAGGAAGGAGGAAAACAGAAATGCCGGAGCATGTCGCGAAATCACCCTCCCACACACAATTTTTTTTTAAAACACCATGACCTGAAACCGATCCGTCAGGAAAGACGCAGCCGCCTGTTTGGGACGAGTTGACACGAACCCGGCAGAGTAGTCGCCCGCGAGCGCACTCGTCGCCCAGGGAGTCGAGGTCGTATCCCAGAAGACCTGCAATCACAGAGAAGTGGGGGTGATTGAGGGGACGCGACGCACCTTCCGCTGCCTGGGGAAGTGGCCGCAATTATGGGTGAGGATACCGGCTACTGCATGAATTGCCATGATCGTGCCTCCAAATCGGAAGGGGAGTGGCCGAGGAGCGGGATGCAGTCCGCTGAGAGTTCCTGTATAGCCAAGGGGTTTGGGTGTTCGCCATTTCATTGCGCCACCGAGATTGTCG